TGAATCACCAATAACATGAAGCCCATTATTTCAGGCACGAAACTTCTTGGAAGCAAGCTAGCTGCTATACATCAAAAGGGGATGTTAGGTTAATGACCATGCAGATCTAAGATTGATGATTTCATATAAAACTAAACGAGACTCTGTATCATAGCCCTGAGTTCTTGTACAATATTTATTGTTATCCAAAGATTGGCAGCATGTGTTAGATGCCTTCTAAACCAACCAACTCACATGCTCTACACAAAAGTATGGATACTTACTGATAATATTTGACAATTGACCACTCAAGTCCTGAATCACCAGCGCCACCCTGCATTAAATTGACTGATGCAAATCATTTAGCACTATCTTTCTGACTCTTGCATGATCTTTCTCTATCTCGCGATCATAAAATCAGAAAGTATTGATGTGTTTACATCAGTTTAAAGAAAACAATGAGCAAAAATCGATTAGATAACCTCATTTTTTTAGAGTAATTAACACCAATTTATCAGGGGTTTAATTAGAAAGGTGGCATGAGCTGGGATCAAATTGCTTCTTTTTCTTTTTGAGTGTTCTAATTAATTCTAGTCAATTTGCTTAATCAGAATTTTGACTTTTGTGTCCCACTATCTGCTTTAAGATTAATTAGTAGAATAATGCTACGCACTGCAAAACCTGACCGCATATTTCTAGTCAAGAGATAAGAGTCAAGACTCATAATTAAAAGTTAAAAATATTAGCCCGACCATAGGGTATTATTAGGCTATCCTTTAATTACAAGATTTGTGGGAAATTTGTCCTAGGAAACATAATATCCACTCAAATAAACTAATGATTAATTATAATCACTAATCAAGCTAGACTAAATCAAGTATGTCTCTTCCATGTAAACTAAATATGCATTTTCAATGAGATAAATTGGTTGCGGGCATGGCAAGCATGTACCTAGCCCTTCACGTGAACTCAAGAAGTTGATGAAAGAAAAGGTTTAAAACCCTATATTTGGATATAGTACCTTGGCAAAGCAATGACGCAAACTCTATTATTGAAATGGACAAAGGAAAGACGTATTGTTGATTGCCCTACCAGTTTGGCCAATATGTCGGGCCATCGGGGGAAGCTAGATGCTCATTGCCACCATGCTTGCAAAGAGTGAAGGTATCATTACAATTAAGGATCTTTCTTTGCATTTGTTATTTACTTATTTTAACCACTTTTAATCGCTACTCTAATCTTTGTAGGCCATTTTTCATACAAAGCAACATGGGATAACACCTTATTGTGCTCCAAGAATAGTAGTTATCTTAGCAAAAAAAAAAAAATCAATAATCAAATATATATATATATATATATATATATATCAAATCAAAATGAAAGCACATTTTAGTTAGCACACGGGAAAAGTCATGATTTTCCACTTCTTTTTTAATGGAAAAGAAAGATTTATAATTAACTTTTTAAACCAGATATATATAGATATGTATACTTAATGATGGAACCAAATGTCGAGATTATGATATTTCACTTTTAAATCTTCATTATATTGCAAAGCTGGAGAATAAAAGTGCATTTGCATTAATCTTTGTCCAGATTCCATATTTAAATTCAATTAATAGGCTTTCCTATATTAATTTATTCCATTGGAATTGGAGAGCATAATTGTCGACTCCTTTAAGATCATGACAACAAAGGTTTATTTGTTATTGGATATGATAGTCCTAAGAATCATAAAACATAATTCAGCTAATTATTATTCTAAGTGGATGCATGAAAAGACAGATTATCACCTTAATCTTTGCTACTAATTACATTGTCTTTTCAATTAAAGAAATTTGAGTTGTCTTTTACTTGTGTATTATTGCACATGGGAGCAGTTAGTGTCCTTATACACCCATGTGTGTTTTAGTATTTTAATGGTTGTAATAACTATGAATAAAATAAAATTATTAAACTTAAGTGGGAAAAAGAAAAAAAAAACAGAAGAAAAGGAATATTAATAGAATGTAGATGCAGATGAATAACAGTAACAAACGAAAATATTGATTGATTCTGGATTTGTATGGAGCCCAGTAGGCCCAATTTCTATAAGAAGAGTCATAAGTGTGAAGCTCATTTAGGAGAGATGATAAAGGGCCAGGCTTTCAATCTGTGCGTCAAAGGTTTTATGGGCCTTCTTAACTTTCTAAGAAGAACATTCATTTTAGCTATTTGAGACTTCAAGTGTAGTGTTGACGACTGGATTCTCCCTTATTATTTTTTTATACATCTATCTATGAGATCGTATATGTAAATGATGATGAAAGATATATTAACAAAAAAAGAAAGAAGGGGGTGGAACTTAATTTTTTTTTTAATGATGTAAACCTTCCATTTTTTTCTTATAAATTTGACTATTTTTCATTTGTTCTATTTCTTTTGTTCATATTTTCAATTACTTATTTACATTTTATGCTGTTAATTTTTAAATTATTTCGAGATTATTTGTCTTTTTTTTTTTCGGCTCTGAATCAAATTGGGCTTGATTTACGAATTGGGTTGTTAACCTAATCCGATTTTCTTTTCTTTGGACTGACTCTTAAGTTTTGTTTTCTTCTCAAGGCCCATGAAACCCAATGGGATTTTGTTCAATCATCTCATAAATTTTGCTTTTACTATGTTAAAATTTTTCAAGTTAAAAAATTAAATTTTCACAAAGTAAAAAATCCAAAAAGATAAAAATTTAAGGACAAATGACACTTGCAACCACTAATAATTCTATTTTATGGAATTATTTTTATCCAATTTTGTTATTAATATTAGTTAAGTTTTTAATATTTAATTATAATTTAGTTATTTTTAGTTGTTTTTATAATTAGTTTATTTTTAACTAAATTATTTTAATTTTATATTTATTTCCTTTAATTTGATTATTATTTATTAGTTATTATATTTTTGTAGGATTTAAGCAAATTGGGTTTAATTTTGGAAAGTAAGATGTTGAAAGATTTGTGAGTCTGTTTGCATATGCTTCAGTATTTTAACTATAACTCGTCTTATCGAACTCCAAATGCTAGGATTCTTAAACCATGAGAAAATTAAGAGACATAGCTAAAATTTCATGAGATCACTATACCCAGTTCTACCTCGAAGATAGAGAAAATCATATTGAAAAATGGCTGGACATATTATGGCCAAAATGACAATTTTAAAAACTAATAATTGATATTTGGGCCTTTCAGTACACTTTTACACCCAATTAAATCATAGGTCAACATAGTGAACTTTAGGTTAAATTTGTTAGTATAAATAAGATATTTTTAAAAGATATTAAAAGAGACAACTTTTGGAGATTTAAGAAGCTAAAAGTGAAGGCTGATACTTGAAGAGTAAGGCTGCAAATATTTATTTTGTTTCTTCTTTAGTTTTCATTTTTCTTGTTACTCTCAATGGTTGAATTATATATAATGTTATTTATCTTTACAATCATGAGTAGCTAATTTTCCTTTTCCAGGATTATAATTGAACTCACACGTAATCTAAATTTTTAATCTTTTTTTACTTATCTTTAATGAAATTTGAATTATTTATTCTAATTTGTTCTTAATAATTTAATTGTCTAATCATCATTGAAATTGATTTAAGAACCTAAACAAACTTGAAAACATATGATCATATTAATTGATTTGCTTATAGGATAGGAATATATCTATAGGTCATATGTAGCCAAATTTAAGCCTCAACTTAATAAGTCTATTTTAATTTCAATTCATATAGGGATATAATGTTTTAGTTAAAATGAAAATTTTTATAAGATTAGTCGGGAGACACTCATAAATAATTGAGGACTCTATGTTAGCAATTCAACTCATTGAAATAAGTTAAAAAAGAAAGTTAAGATTTAGATGAAGTGTGAAAAATATTATAATCCTAAGCTTGTTTAATTTGATTTTTATTCAAATTAATATTATTTTGATTTTTTTATTTTAAATTTTGGTTAATTAGTTTTAGTTAATTAATTTAGTCAATTGGTTTTGATTGTTTGGATAAGATTAAATTGTTCTAATTTTAGTACTTAGTAAAATTTTAAATCAATTCTCTGTGGGATCGATACTCTGCTTGCTTATATACTATCTATTTGATACGTATACTTGCATAATAAAATTTTAACTAACAACCACTTGTAAAAATTACATATGGTTATAAGTGTCACGAATTTCATATCAGTAAAAGATGAAATAGGTCTTGGATTAATAAATAAATGTATTCCTTTCCATCACTTAATAGGTATATCATTTATATTGAAAATGTAATATAATGCCAAACAGTATCAGAACCTACTCAAATCTTCATCGATGTGAAGACCATCATAAGCAATACCTTTATTTACGAAATCAAAAGTATTTATTATCAGCTGAATATTCTGTCAATAATACTTTTTTTTTGGTAATGAACTTGAATGTTACAACAAAGTTTAAATTTGCTTTGAACAATATTTGATGATGATGATGATTATTATTATTATTATTATTGACTATTACAACAAATCTTAAATTTGATTTGAACAAGATTTGGTTGTATTATTATTATTATTATTATTGAATGTTACAACAAATCTTAAATTTGATTTGAACAAGATTTGATTATATTATTATTATTATTATTATTATTATTATTATTATTATTATTATTATTATTATTATTATTATTATTATTATGATGATGATGATGATGATGATGATGTTTTGTAGTGGAGAGATCCTCGACTTTTCCTCAAGCAACACAATCACACAAACCCTAGTGTAGATAAGGATGCCAAGAGGTTTTATTAAATACATGAACTCAGCATAGATGTTATATAATCATGCATGTGTAGATATATACAATTACTCTCAAAAGTTGTGTGAATAAAAGTAAATCTTATTGCTAAAAACACCTTCTTCACAAAAATCTCGATGAAGCCCTCATCCCTGAATTTCCTCTAGCTGGAATTAATATTATGGTGTGCAGGCCCCTGAAGTTGATCCAGGCTGCAACAAGGAAGAAACACAGCATTTTCATTTGTCAGACGGAGTAACTATTTTTGAGTACGCTGCTACTTCTGAGCACAAGGTCCAAAACAGTGGAACCATACTTCTAAGAGAAGTGAATTCGATGAGATGAAAAATGCCCTAAGCATAAATTTTGCCAACACTACAAATTTTTCATTTTCATGAACATGCAATATTTTTTATTTTTGTAAAAAGTAAGATATAGCTATTTAACATACATATATAAGATTTAAAATTCAATATATGATTTGAAAGATCATTTTAAAAAAGAGTACATAAATAGAAAATCTGAAACTCACGATTATAAAAGTATAGATAATTGAATATAAATTTAAAAAATAGTTAATATTAATACGTTACGAACTAATCATGACATTATTTGTAATGTAATTTTGGCTTACCACACATGCATGAATATCGTCACACCCACATAATAGCTTCCCATTCAAAGTGTCCACAGCTTGAAATGATCCTCCACCTTCACTCCTCTATGCAAACCAAACAAGTGTGTGTATATATATATAGGGTTTAATATTTCTCCCATCACACCAAATTAACAACAAAGAAGTAATTTAGAGTTAAAATACCTTGTAATAATCAACTGCAACAAAGTTAGCCCAACGGTTGCCAGCAGCACCATAGCAAGTGTGAAGCATGTTAATCAAATCCCCCGAGTTGTCCTTACATGTCGCTGACTTGCTTGGCACTGAGTGAAAGTAATTTACCAATACTAAAGATTTGCTCGTATCATCCAGAGCTGATGACTCTCCCCTGTTCGAGCAACTTCCTGCTTGCATTCCACCATCCCCATCTGCCAAATTCACATTCATGGAAAGGATATTTAAAAAAGATAATCCATTCATTAAAATAGAATTTTATATATATATATATATTTAGCAAATGTTTAAAATTGTTAGCCTTAGTTATTTGCACAATCTAATTTTATTTATTTACATATTTTTAACTAGTCTTTAATGTGTAACATAATTAGGATTCCTTACATTGATTTTCGACCATGTAATTCCACTGGTAAGCAATTCCTTCACTTGCTTCCTTGGACTGAATTGAAGTGAAAACAAGCAGTCTTTGGTTCTTAGCAACCATGTCACTAACAAGAGGCCAGTCTTCACCATTTTTAGGCATGCTTGATACAGGGAACCAATATTTCATCAAGCCAGCATCGGTAAAGACCTTTGTCAATCCATTTGGACCAACATAGTCTTCCAAGATCAATGTAACAATTTCCTCCGGATTTGCTGATAAGAAAGCTTGAATTTCCTTCAAATAGTCTATGGCTGGTCCCTGTTAGGCCAATTAAAAAGAAACATATGAAAGGGCAACCGTAACGTAAGATAGGGTTACCTAATAAGGGAAAATATACTTACAAAAGCAGTATAATCATGACAGTGTCCTCCGAATGAATGGCACATCCACACATCTCCATCAAAATCATACGTATCAAGCATCAATCCCCTGGCCCCATTCTGCAGGTGGACTAGGCTAGTTTAATTAAGGTAGCAAATGGCTCTGTAGATAAGTAATCAAAGGAACTAATTAACATGAAAAGCCACTTCGAGAAAATTAAAACATACATTGAGCTGATCGGTGATGCTGTCTTCCTGATTGGTGAAAGTAACTCGAGGAACTGGGGTATGCAAAGGATATCCGTCGATGGCGTAAGCATTGTGGGTTGTCAAGAATGCGTATTTGTTGAAAGGAAGAGAGTTGTTCTATCCAGAAGCGGAAGAATTAGTATGTGCAAGTGGCATTTGTCAGTGACAAGGCTGAAAGTACTTAAGAGATCTTAAATCCGAGCGGTAGCCAAAGAAACCAATATGACATAATTGATGGGCCAAGAGATTGGCTCCATGGCTCAGTCAACATGAGCAAACGGTTAGGAATTGTGTACCAGGCCTACTGATGTGAAAGTGTTTAATGCGGCTGTGACTTTCTTTGAAGCTAGCCATAAATGTCTATGTTGTCCTTATTCATTTCTTCAACGAAGTAGAGAAAGAAAAAGTTGTTTGTTAGCTCATCACTAACCAGAAGCTTGAATTGGTCTGCAATGGTTGATCTTACGCATCTGGAACCTGAAAATCCTTGGGAGCAAGCGAAACAATAGAGTCCAGCCTCGCAATCTCCATCCGAAGAACATCCATCAAGCAACTGCATATTGTAACTAAGAGCACTAAGGAATTCCAAAAGTACAACAAATTAAAACCATATACAATTAGGATGGAAAGATTCGAGACAAACCCTGCACTGTCCATCAGAGCAAGCTGAAGCAACACTTAGAAACAGAGAAACTGCTGTGAGAAGAAGCAAATTTTGATAAAGACTCATAGTTGGAGATTGAAAGGATTGCAACAGAGAAGAGGCAGAGGTGCAATCCTTGTTAAATAAAATAAATCCTAGAAAAGCGATTCTTCTCTGGGAAAAATTGCGGGGTTTTCCAGCTTTGGCTGAGAAAACAAAGGAGAATTTTCATGAGAAACAAGCATGATGCTTCGACATAGAATATATATAGAAAAAGCAAGAAAACTGGAAAGCGGTTGGCAACCCACTCCAAGACAATGGTATGAAGCAACAAGTCAATGATAACTGTTAAACAGAGTCCAACGAAATGTGAACTCTATTCCACAATACTCATGCTTACTACGCTATGAACCGGGTAAGATTACGACCTTAAGAGTTCCTAATAAAAGAATTCTATAGTTGCAATCATAGGATCGATGGTTTCAAAGGTTGGATGCACAGTGAGCTCCAACAAGAAATCTTAAATTAAAGTTTAAAACTGAGGGAATTACTTTTTCTTCTTCTTTAATTGGTTACTATTGTTTCTGTCCTTTCTACGAGTAGCACAAATGGCTGTTCATCTACGTCACTGAGTTAGTATTAGTTTTGCTTTAATTTGATCCGATCCAGCAATGTGGCAGTGAGTGAGAAAAAACGAGTCAAATTTAATAGCGTAGGAGTACTTTGTATTCTCCATTAATTGAAGGTTTATATTGTTTTTGCCTAATTCTACAACGTCAAATCTACCATCTACATTTGTCAATTGAATAATGAAGAGATATGAGCGCAAGATTGTTCGGTCCTTAGTCATATATTGAACTTCTTTTTTATAAATAAAATTAAATACTCTTTTTAAAATTAATGTTTATTGAATTTTTCATTTCAAAATTCAATTATTGTTTCTGTTAAATTATGATGTAATATTTTTTATTTTTTAAAAAATATATATGCGAGTTTCAAATGAAAATGAGAATTCAAATTTCAAATCTTAATTTCATTAAGGATGTAACAACTGCTAAACTATTAAAATAAAAAAAGTTAATAACACCGTTAATTGGAATTAACTCTTTAACAAATATAAATATGGATAGCATAAGTTATTTTAATTAGGTATCATATTTTAAAAAGTTTTTAAATTATTTAAAAAATTTAAATAAGTTTTTATTCTTTTATTACGTTCAATTAAGTCCTTATACATTTATTTTGAGCTAACTAATTTTTTATACTTTTTTTTAACCAAATTAACTTTTATGATTAATAGTTGACTTAATCAAAACGTCACTTACTATTTTATGACGTGAGGTGCTGAAATGTCAAAATTAATAATAATGTAGCATGTTAACATTTAATAATTGACGATAATATAGCCATGTAATATTTTTTATCCTCTACATCAACGTCACATCAATACTTTATAAATATAAAATAATAAATAATTTTTTGATTAATAAAAATTAATCAACTATTAATCATAAGGTTATTTTAATCTAAAATAAAAGTATTGAAGCTTGATTGAACATAATAAAAAAATAAGGGCTTATTTAAAATTTCTTAACTAGTTAAAAGGCTTTTTCAAACATTATGCCTTGTAATTAATATATTTTATTTTATTTTATTTATTTTTAATCTAAAAAATAATGTATTCATTTCATGGCTTTTATTCTTATTTTAAGCTTTTTTTATACCTTTAAAATGTATTGCCTCTTATAAATCTAAGGACTAAAATTGGAAGAGAATTAAATGGCATTTAATATATATATATATATATATATATAAAGAGGAGAGAGTAGCATTTGAAAGGGTTGAATTTATTAATAAATTATGCAAGAAAATTTCTTTTTGAAGAAACTTAGGCAAGAATTAATAATTTCAAATATTTTAATCGTAATTGCTTTTGCTCATAATATAATAAATCGAATGTTATGACCTTTGTTAAGTTACTCTCATCGTAATTATATTTGCATTAGATAAACTTTATCATTTGAGTTATAATTAGATTAACCTTAAGGAGTTTGTTAATATATTTTAGAATTACTTGCTTGTTGATTAGTTTGTAGCAAAAACATCAGATGCTGTAACTTTTTTCACCAAAACTGCTTTAGTACTTGCCTCAAGCACCATATTAATTATTAAACACAAAGGCCCAGCTTGTTTTAAAAGAAGGTCCAACAGGTCTTTTGAGGCCAGCTATGCGTCAACGGGCCAGTAGTAAAGAGGCCCAAGGTCTGATTAACGGTTTGGAAATTATAGTATTACTTTCAAATTATGCCTATTAGATTAGATAAGCTATTTATTAATCAAATGTCCGCAGTGTATTCCCACAATAGGATCGGAAAAATTAGACTATCCTTAAGATTTCCCTTTCACATTTTAACATCTTAATTATTTTTTTTTTCTTTGATCGAGTTATTGTACTCATTTTTTAAATTTTTTAATTAAAAAAAATGTAATTTCAATACAAATTTGTTACCATAAATAATCCCCTCCTAGATTGGATTCGATACAACATTATAGTTGCATTTTAACATGAACAAATAGAGACTCGCATATATAACCTTCCAAGAGTGACCCCCGCTTTTATAGAGAAGCCTCCCTTCTTTTAATCAATACGTGTTGGATACATAGAAATACTTCAAAATATTTATGTACAAGAGGATTTGGCACTTATAAATATAAGCAAAAGTATTAATGTATTTATGTTTAATGCATACACCATGCATAAAAACACTTAAACCCTCAAACCGGAATAGTATATATACAGCCGAATTCCATCGTATTAAGGATCCATAATCAAATAATATTCATGCAAAATAAGTAAACGAAAACCAAATAACTGTCTGTTATTTTATTTATATAACGATAAAGAAAATCTTTAATTGTATGATTCTAAATGCTGTGTAAACCAAACCCCAAAAAGAAAGGAAAACTGAAGACTGTCATTTCATTTTTCCATAAACAAATTTCTGCAATAAGCTTGAGATGGTTTTAGCTTGAATAGGTCATTTATCTTCAGAGAAGAAATGGTTGATGGCAGGCATGACTTCGGGCGGGCGGGTTCGGAGGAACTTGCGAAGTCCATGTTCAGCATATGTTTCTCCTTCCTCGTAGTTTTCTAGCACTGCCTTGCTACGGTCAGCTTTGTTGATTCTGCAGTATTAAGAATGGGAGCAAGACAAAGCCAAAACATTAAAACATATTAATTAGAAGAACATTTATGAAGGAGATTATAGTTTTCTTATATACCTGACAGCAGGATTTAGGAAAACATTCCTTGTAAGCTGAAAGATGCACATGCTTGTTACAAAGGTCATGGCACCCAATAGGGGGTACACCTGAATATTTAATCCATCAACAAAGCAAAAATGGAAAACGTGACAAGTGATTCGTAGGACAAACAAAAATAATGTGGTAGATAGCTCCAATAAACGCTCTCACATAAAGTTAAACGAATCATTGCATTTGGCACCATTTTGCCTACTCCTTACCTCTGGCCTCATCCAACGCCCCATCAGAAAACTTTTCTTCTTCTTCTTCTTCTTTTCCCCTGTGAAAATGAACCTTAAAACACTCCCAAAAAAGGGGTACTGGATTTGCTTCACCTGGCAGATTTTGCTGATTATATTACTATTTGAAATTCATTTCAGTGCCCTTTGAGTATTTATAGTGTTAATGGGATTTGAAAGAGCCAGCCTAGGAAGCTTACCTGGCTGGCTAGACGTGTGTTTCATTTCAGTGGGCTACATTTAACAATTTGACTCTACCCTCACAATCGATACCAAAACCAGGTGCTTCGGCCTCTTGTTTTCCTGAGTTGATAACTTTGGAATAAGCCATTTCTAGCCTCCTTGATTGGGTTGACAAGTTGGGTTTAATTTGAAAGACTACGTAGAATGTTCTGATTCTCTTAAAACTCATCCACCAACGCAGTGTTTTACTAGGTAATGACTAGGAAGTTTGTTTTTGTGGATTAGAATTTTCTTATGGACTTTGACTTTTATGTGTTTTTGCTGTTCCAAACATATCTTTCCTTACAACATGGTTATTAATTTAAGAATAATTAATCTAGCTTATCTTCTTATCTCTAACATCTCTTAATTTTCCATTAAATAAAAAAAAAAGATGTAGCTGTCATTCACTTTCTAGGTTGGCAATGCTACTATACTATCCTCTCTTTTAACTCTTTCCTTCAAAACATGTTAAAAATTCACAATTTGGGCAAATAATATTTACTTTTGTGGTAAAATTCCCTTTTCCTTTTCCACCCAGTCTGTAATATATTGTTGGCAATCTAATTCTGCTGGATTTCTCAAACAGATATAGAAGGAAATATCTTTAATAGGTTGTCCAGACGTCAGAGGTTCAGCAGTTGAATCTGCATTTCATGTAAACTCGGAGATGATTGGTTCAGCCCAAGGTCCAAGGCTTATATGGTTGGGGCTGGGCCTAAACTTGGGCATTTGCAAATGTTGTTAATATATGGCATTAAAATCGAACTTGAATCGTCAATTAAGTTAAAGAATTAAGATTGGACATATGATTAAAAATTATTATAATTATAGTTTTATATTTTTATTTTACATCATTAATTAAAATCTCATTTATCATTTTCATATCAAATAGTATTGACATGATATGTTAATATATCATAGTAAATGATAACATAATATATTTATATGATATTTTTAATTTTTTACATCAACGTCATATTATCACTATATAAAAATAAAATAAAAAGTAACGTTTTGACTAGCAGTTAGTCAATCGCTAATTATAAAAATTAATTTGATTTTAAAATAAAAGTATAAAAATTTAATTAAATATAATAGAAAAATAAAAATTTATTTAAATTTTATTTAGTAATGTTTTAAAGTATTTATGCATAATTTTTAATGCATCTCGTATTTTGATTTTTTAAATTTATTATTGACGTTATTAAACAGACCTATATAATGTAGATGAGGAGCTTAAGTCTCAAAGCCAAATATCTGCCAGCTCAATCTTTGGTAGAAGAACATTTTATTGTTAAGAATTTTAAAATGGAAGTTACTACTTCTCCTATTAGTAACTGAATAGGTAGATTATGCATTAATGGGGTGGTGATAGCATTGTTTCTTAAGTTCCCAACTATGGCTGATGATTACTTTGAACTTTGAAGCTTGAAAAAGTGCAAGACTCACTCAAAATTTCGAGATTTACCTAACATTTCATCATTACCTTTGATTCTTTCTATTGTTTAAATGATGCATGAAATGAAAGACTCTTATTAATGAAGCAAATTCAAATGTGTGAATATCATGCATTTTAACTCTAAGCTTTACATACAAAATTCTGAGGCAGCCATATAATTTGAACCTTCATTTACTACGAGTAAAATACTAGAGAATAGAGAGGCTAAGACCCAAAAATGGGAGATTAATAGACTAGTGTTGCAGCATAAACATGCCGATTGTGATAAGTTAATCGTGTGAGAAGGTAGAATGAGTTGGAAATAAATTGGAAAATGGCGACTAACAGATTAAAGAATGCACCAAGCAGGTCAGAAGCAAGAAAGGCAAGGAAGAGAGATGGAAGCCATGGCTTTTAACTTTCCTATGGAAAGGTGGGGGTAACAAGAAGCATTAGGCCGATTGAGTAGAGGTTCGTTCAAGTGCTGGTGCTTTACCTCCTTTCAGTTTTTGCTAGTTTCACCATTAATGGCCCTTGGGAACCATGGTTGAGAGAGTTCCTTCTTCGCATTTCGTTCCTCTCCAGGGGGGTGGGGGCCATAAAGAAAAAGACTGCAGGCGGAAAGAGAAGCATGCATGTGAGAAATTTTACTGTTGAAGCATTCAAATGATTTGTTGGCTTGTCCTTTTATAGGAAGGGAACTCACTACTTGTCCCTACACTGTTTACTTGCCTCTAACTCTTCCTTCTGCTTCTACGAAAACGTGGGAAGAAAATCAGAGCTTTGAATAATGATTTCTTTTGTATTCATTTTCTTATGTTAATTTCTTTAGCTATGCAAATGTTCAAAGACAATATTGGTTACAAATAAACTATGGCCTCTGCATTCAATTGCATCTATTCTTATTCTTACACATTAATTTCAGACAATCATTTTTTATTTTCTAATCTTAAATTGACAAATTTTTTAATAAATTAAATTAATACATAAATTCAGACGATTTGAATTTAATCCAATAATTGTTACTCTATTCAAAAAGATTAAGATTAAAATTAAAAATTCGAAATACCTATTCATCTCATACCTCATTACTCATACTCCCAAAAAAGGTAAAAAAATATACACAAAATTAGTTCTTATAGGTCTTATTAGTATGCAAGACCAATAAAGAATTGAGTGGTTATAGAAAAACGAAAATACAGAATTAAGTGATTGAAAGATTGAAAGCAGCCATCGGCTGATGCTTTAATATATAAGGAAGGAAAATTGTGATTCAAAAGCTTAAGAATGTTCTCATTATTATAATGGTTTTGGCTATTAACTTTAATTATTATATATATGGGTTTTTAAACCGGATAAAAAATGGGCTGAGCTTGAACCTTATTCCTAACCAGGGCAGGACAGTCCAAACTCAAGCGCCTTATGTCAGCGAATTACATGTAATAAGGAAAATTTGATTATTTTTTCTATATATGGAAAAGAGAATGCTTCTGGAAATAGCATGAATCTTGTTAGAAAACCTGTCAAAAGTCACTCTCAACGGGGGCCGGTGGGATGTTGTGCTCAGACAACTCTTTAAGTCTCCCGCTTAGTCTCAACCTAGCAGTTGCTTCAAGATATGGAAAGCGAAAAACCAGAAGGCTGAGAGAGATGTATATAACCATAAGACACGATTCAAGTAGTTAACAACCAGTAGGTAAGCCATCCTCCCAACTCTAGATAATTCCTATACTGGAAATGTGGAAAATTTATGTTATTTATCTTTCTTAACACTCTTACATAACCGACATTTCCTCTTACATATGGTAGCCTTTGCAGTTGCATTTCATTGTTGAAGGACACATTCGAGTTTGGATTCAGCAGTTGCCAAAACCCGGGTTGCGGAAAATTGTTGCTTCAAAACCGAACCCAACTCCCTGCCATTGCTACAACCCGGTGGAGATGAGATTTGTCATCTCGGCTTTGTTTCTTCTTGTTCTCCTTTCTCATGCAGGTGAACATTTATTTAGCTCCTGAATTGTTTTTCTCAGTTCGTTCATTTCTGTTTATTCAATGGCGCTCGCATTTTCTTTTGCTTTGTGGCTGCAGCTGCGTATGATCCTTTGGATCCAAATGGAAATGTAACTATCAAATGGGATATTGTGTCTTGGACGCCAGATGGCTACGTGGTAAGTGCTAATTATTCATCAGCCAAATTAAGTTCAATCATCAATGGTCTGCATTTTTTCTCTCTTAGAATTCGTTCACAAAGAGACTAAACTGATAAATATTAATTCATTATCCAAGATTCTGATCGTATTAAGATTTATGTCTGTTTTACTGATCATAGATAGCCAATATCTGAGCTTATGTTGCCTAATGACATATTCCAGGCTGTTGTAACAATGAACAATTTTCAAATGTATCGGCACATCATGAGCCCTGGGTGGACCTTGGGGTGGACATGGGCTAAGAAAGAAGTTCTATGGTCCATGGTAGGGGCTCAAACTACTGAGCAAGGTGACTGCTCCAAGTTCAAAGGAAACATTCCTCACTGCTGCAAGAAAACCCCCACAGTTGTAGACCTGCTCCCAGGTGTTCCTTACAACCAACAATTCACCAATTGCTGCAAAGGTGGAGTGCTTTCAGCATGGGGTCAAGATCCTCAAGCTGCTGTCTCAGCTTTCCAAGTGAGTGTTGGATTAGCCGGAACTTCAAACAAGACTGTGAAACTTCCCAAGAACTTCACTTTACTTGGTCCAGGACCAGGATACACCTGTGGTCCAGCAAAGGTTGTGCCTTCCACCACTTTTCTCACCCCTGATCGCCGCAGAAAAACTCAGGCCCTCAGTAAGATCTTTTGGCTCACATGATCTAGATTTTTCGTAATTCATGGAAGATTGTTTAGTACGAGTAGACTTAGAAATGGTACAACCATATTGATCTCCTGAACAAAGTAAGGTGATCCAAATTTACAGTAATTAATCATGTCTTTATTCTATGCAGTGACATGGAACGTGACTTGCACTTATTCACAGTTTCTCGCTAGGAAAAACCCGAATTGTTGTGTGTCTTTCTCGTCTTTCTACAATGAAACCATCACTCCTTGCCCATCTTGTGCTTGTGGATGCCAGAAGAAAAACAACTGTGTCAAGTAAGCTGCCATTTCGGATACCTTAACTTGATTTACTTATCAGACAGCATAAGCATCAAAATGTTACGGTGAATGATGATATGCAGGAGTGACTCCAAGATTCTTAAAATGGTGGGAGTAAACACTCCAAGGAAAGATAATGCCCCGCTGCTTCAATGCACGCACCACATGTGCCCAGTTCGGGTGCACTGGCATGTCAAACTCAACTACAAGGACTACTGGCGTGTTAAGGTCTCCATTACCAACTTCAACTACCGCTTGAACTACACACTTTGGAGCCTCGTTGTCCAGCACCCTAATCTTAATAATGTAACA